CTTTGGATATGCATATCAATCACTTGCGTAGTTTAGGTTGGCATATTAAGTTCGTGTGAGCTTAATTGTTTAGTTTATATAAAATGAATACCTAAGAGGAACAAGCTAGTTAAATTGATTAAGTTCGAATAAATTTAACTACCCAGTTTGTGCTAAAAGGCTTTGGGGGAGATAATTTAATTTTGACCAACAAAATTTTGCAACTCTTATGCAAGCTACCCCATGTGGACGGTTCAATTTCAAATAGCCTTGATTGTACGTGTAAGTGGACATCTAACACCAACCTACAAACTTCAACTATTTTTTAATATTATGGAATAGGTCAAGTAGTTCAGTATGTTATTTCTGTTAAAAAAAGTTTTTCCAAGTTAAATTTAAATCAACAATGACAAGAAAACTTTAAAAAAAAAAAATTAAGAAAGCTTGATATAGCCTAGTGTCTCATATATGAAGCCCAAAGGCTTAATAAAAATAATTAATTAGAGCTTAAAGATGCTAATTAGGGATGTCAAGTATTAATCAGAGCATGCTCACTTGGTAACTTCCTTGAGCTCATCCAGAGTGCCAGTTAGTCAATTTGTTAAGGTGCTTATACTCTTGAAAAAAACAGGTGGCTCAAAATGTTTTTTTCTCTTAATTTAATTACACTAATATTATATACTCATTTTATTGATGCGTGTTTTTCTATCATTTTTAAAACACAAAATTAAGTTTATTTTCACTCTTTTATATTCGATAGGTCTTAAATCACCCCTCTTCCATAATTAATCTTCATCCTATTATGCTTTGTTTTAGTAGACATCACTCTTATATTTTTTTTTATCACACTCAAATTTAGTCCTTAGTAATTTTTACTACCAACTTGATTTATTTAGTATAGTTGTTCGAATTTCAATTTTTTAGTGTTGATTAGCATGCTATTCTCTTATTTTATAATATTTTTGAAGGACATCTATATTTAAATATCCAAGCTTTTACGTCTACAACTTATGCCTTCATTTATATCGATAAGTATTGTGTATTATACTCTTAAGATTCTGAAGCCCAGCATACTTGTCATTTGATGTTCCATCAATATTGATGAATACTCATAAATTATACATCCTCTAAAATTTTGGATAAATACATTTAGTATTTATTCTACTAATCTTTAATCTTGTATCTTCTAAACCATCAACCATTACTTTAACTTACACTTTTCTCCATTAGTGATCTCACCTATGAGAATTATATCTTCAAATAACATACATGAGTGTACCTTACCATGAATTTGTTCTGTAAGTGCTTTCTTAATCTTAAATGTTGACCTATTATGATTGAAAATTTCTTCATTGCTCCATAATTATCGTTCAACCATATTGAAACCTAATAATGAATATATGAAATATACTTCCACTGATTGGATTATCATACACATAGATTAATAAAAACATAAGCTTTCAAATTTGCCTCGTCTTTCTAACTATGCCATCTATTGTCATATAATTGGCCTTCGTTTCAACAATTGTTTCTTAAGAGTCAATCCCAAGTTGTGTTGCTGCACTCACTATTTCCTATGCAAGTTGTATTTTGTTTTTTATCTTCAACTTTTCTAATATCGCAGTTATTTTAATGAAGCATTTGGTTCTTATGTGCGTGCATTTTGCAATCTTCAATTATTCCTAATTCTAGGGATTCCTTGTGAATCTTATGATTGCTAAAATTGTTGTGATTCTCTTGAATGATTCCATATATCGTTAGGTTTTGGTAAATAGGGATTTTTGTTCAAGTGCACTATTGGGGCTTAATCATGTACAGTAGTTTCGGGCCTTTTTCAGTTTTCTGCTAGGGTTGTTCCCATGATTCCTTGTTCTCGCCGCTTCTATTTGTTGTTTCCATTCCGTTGAGTTTATTGTACTTATATTGCCTACCGAGAGGATCAAGAATATTGGTTCTAAGGCATGCAGAAGACAAATGCATGGCTAAAAGAAAATTTATTTATTTTTTTTAGCATAATTTATTCTTCTTCTTCTTCTTCAATATTCCCATTCTTGATCAAGTTTGATTTTGAGGCATGTTGTCTTCTTATTTAAGTATAAAGCGTGTCTATTAGTAATTTCTCCTTGCTTTGTCTTTCTTTTTCAACTCCCCTTCCTCCTATTTTTAACATGCTTTTTTTAATATTTTCGGTGCACAAGATTTTAATTACTTAAATAACTTTCATGATAGTTAATTTTGTAGCTAATCTGTATTAGAAGTATAAAACCTTATAGTTAAAAATAGATTTTATTTATGTTCTGCTTTCGGATTTGGTATTAAATAGTTTGTGGTGACTTGCTTGCTTTCTTGTAAAATTAGATATTTGTTGTACAATTGATTTTGTTTGAACTCTGAATTGCGTTCAGACTATATTTGTTCTATAAATCTTAGATCATGCAACGTCCAACATTGAATATGTTTTTAAGGGTATTCCTCTCTTGCGAAGTCTTAACCTTATTATTTGGGCGTTAACATACATACCACCCAATTCCTATGTATTTACATATCTAACATCTAAACTTTGTTTTTTACATTTATACCACCCAAATCTTTTGTATCACATAAAAAACACTTTCATTTTAAGTTTTAAAAAGTGAATTGCACCTTTCATGCATCGGTCAGGTGGTAAAATTCAAGTTTAGGTGTTAGATATGTAAATACGTAAAAATTTAGTGGTATGTATGTAAATCTTCCTTATTTTTTTTATCCCATTCTAATGTCCTCTTTCTGATCTTCTTGTAGTCTTCTGGACGCATACTTTCCCCTTTGATGATTTTTGTAGGATAAAAAGATCCATAATTTATTTTTCTTCGAAACTGTGCTACATCAATGAAGTGCGTTAGGGGTTTCATTCTCTCGAAGTAATGTTTTTTATATCATCAAAATTGTACCCGAATTTTGTTGGCCATTTTCTTAAATTAATTGGATTTCACTTCCAAAGATAATAAATGCCTTTATTCGTGTTTATTGGCAAATTATATTGCTTTGTTTTTGTTATTCACCATAAGTATATCATATGCAAGTAATTTTTTTATAATAAGCATATCTAATTTGGTAAGTTTTGTCTGATAGTCCACTAAATCAAGGCAGATAATGCTTTCTATATCCAACATCTTATAAGTTGTGATTAAAAAGGCATCTTCTGCTACCACTTGAAGACTTGCAATTTCTATCTCATTGATCATACGAGAGATTTCATCCAATAGGTGAAACTTGTGCTTTGTAATACAAAAACAAAAAAAAAAACAAATTAATGGCATGAATGCTTTATAAAGAATTTCTGTTATGGTGCATATTAATTATATCCCTCAATGATAGGGGTGTAAGCGAGTTGAGCTTGAGCGAGCTCAATGCACATTTGTATTTTGTTCGTTCAATTTTTTTTTGTTCGAAATAGGTTAATTTTTAGAATGGCTCGTGAACACCATATTCGTGGTTGGCTCAATTTGAATTCATTTGTTGTTTAAGCTTGTGTTAGACTCAAAATTAGCTTGAATGATTTTAAAAATAATAAAATTTAATACTAAAAAGGCTATAATATTATTCGTTATTTAATTAATTCGAATCAAAATGAGCCGAATATAATTGAACAAAAGTTTGATCGTGTTCGGCTTATTTATAAATCCAGCTCAAAAAAAATGTTTGTGTTTAGCTTGAATTGTTTAACTAACAAATTGAATATGAGTTACTGAGCCAAACATGAGCCATTCACAAACGATGAGCTTTTTTTGACAGCCCTGCTTCATCATGATTTGTCTATGCTTTGGATAAAATTTGTACTTTCAAGTTAAAATCTAGATTCTCATCCATTTGTGACATGAAAGCCTTAAAATATTAATGAGTTCTATTTTATGTTTCTTTTTTTTTGAAATTTTTTTGAGCTATCCTTTTGCTCATGTAGGTTTTATTTGTACATCTTTTTTTCTTTTCTCATTGTGTTCTTTATCAACAATTATAGGACTTATAGGTTTTACACTGTGCTTTGAATGAGTAGAAATGCAGTTTTATTGAGAGCCAATTTTGGAAGTTGAAATATCTAACATTCAATAAAGTTTCACATGTAAAGCCAAGTGACCCTGCTTAATAACTATTTTTAATTATAGTGCTAAGGGTCATACTGAAGACAAACAACTACAATTGAGGACCTATATATTATATGAAAAATTATCAAGGAATCAGTTGTAAGATTTTAACATTAACATGCAGCGATCTCTTGATCTCAGGGATGTTGCTATAAAACACCATTATATGTTTAGTTTTCTTAAAACCTGAGGGCTTGTTTGGGATCAGTTTTACATTTTTTTTTTTATTTAAAAATATTTTTCTTTAGTGCATTGTTGACATGTTTTTATTTTTCATTCTCAAAAATAAATTAATTTATTTTTAAAAATACTTGAAACTTCTAACAGTTGTTTTGAGTATTTTTTAAAATAATTTAGTTATAATATACTAAATATGTTTTATTTCAAATAAAATATAAGCAAAAAGAAAATAAAAAACAAAAATTAAAAGCGATCTCAAACAACCTCTAAATATTACTAAACTGAAACAATGAAGAACAGGTTTACTAGCTTAATCTGTAATAATTTTTCAATTTGCCCTTGTAGAAAGTAGTAAACTTATGTACACGTGGAAATAGGATGAAATTTTAAAATTGCCCCGCAGTTATTCCCATGTGACTTATTTAGACTCAAGTTGTCACATTTCTCCAATTTAGTACATTGACCATACAAATTGATCCGAAAGGACCCCTCCATGAGTAAATTGGGATTAATTTTGTGTGTTTAAGGGATAAAGTTAATAACAACATTGTCATTATTTTTACATGAGATATTATTTTGGATTGAATTTGTAAAATCAAGAAACTAAATTATAGAAGAATGATACTTGGAAACTAAATTAGTCACATACAAATAGTCGGAATACATTTTTAGCTTTTCTTTATGTGAAAACATACGTGGAGTCAATTCTCTCTTTTGTAGTTGACGTGGAGAGGCATGCAAGGGATTTCATGGAAGCTGCAAAGAAGCTTCAGCTTTATTTCATAAGCCTACAACATGAGGACCAGCCAACCAAAGAGGAAATGCTGCGAAAGGTGTTCGATGAATTAAACTTTTTAATTTTAGGAAGATTTACATACATACCATACAATTCCTATGTATTTACATATCTAACACAAATCCTTCAATTTCTGCATGCTTACCCATACATGAAGAGGTATATTTTCATTTTTAAAAATTTAAAGTGGTGGTATTTTTTATGTGATATGAAAAAGTTGGAAGTTATAAATGTAAAAAATAAACTTTAGTATGTAAATGTTTTTTAATTTTATGACTTCTTCGGACTATATCTAATCATTTGGAGCTCACAATGCTTATTAGGAGATTTCCGTTATGGAGGAGGAGCTGAAAACCAAATCCGAGCTGATTAAGAAGCAAGAAGGCCTCATTGTAGCTTGGAGAAAAGAGTTGAAAGAGCAGCTTGAGCGGCACACTGCAGAGTTGCAGAGGGTTTAAACTCGGAGCAATTTCTGTTAAGGTTTGTCAAGCTTTTCTCTGAAGATTTTCTACAGCAGAAGAGTAAGCCACTCTCTTTTCATGCAATTCTCTAGTAGATGGTAGAGCAGAATATGCCCATGTTTAGTACCTATAAATTATCTGTTTTGAAGATATTTGTAAAATTTCATACATGCTGGTGAACTTTTATTGAACAAAGGAAAGTTATTTATCTGAAAATGGTTTTATTATTATTGTTGTCGTTCTTCGTCATCGTCTTCTTCTTCTTTTGATATAATTAGACTTGACCCAGAAAATTATACTTCAATCTTTATCCATAAAATTAGACTTCTCCCAGAGAATAATTTTATTAAGAAAAGAGGGAAATGAAGTTACCTGTTTAGGCAATGTTTTCCTCTATAATATGGAAGTTTCAAATTTGAGTCTCAGAAATAGCTGCTTATTCTGCCTTCTGATTGTGTTTAGAAGGTGTATTTTTTTGTTTATTTGCACGAGTAAATATAAAATTCATGTGTTCTTTTTTAGAGTGGCATCACCAGTGGTGTGGTGTAAACAAGTCGAGTTTGAGCCACACTTGATTTGAGCTTGAGCTTGATTAATTTAATTGAGTTCGAGGTTGAGCTCGAGCTTAATTCTACGAATTTGAGAGTAATTAGATGATGAATAGTAAGAATTATTTGATAGAAAATATAAAATATTATTTTCTTACATCTTTTCAATAACTTAAAGATAAAAAATTTGAATTTTAATATATTTTTAGTGTGTTTTATATCAATTAGTTTTTAAACGAGTTGGCTCGAGCTAACAAGTTCAAGAGTCAGGGCTGGCTTGAGTTTGACTCGTTAGCTCATTGAGCTTTATTTGCAACAAGCTTGGCTTGAATCGGCTCACGAGCTGGCTCCACTCACACTCCTAAACTGCCACAATTCTATCTGGGCAACTATTATTATGTTGTTTTTTAGAAGTTTTTGTAATGTGAAGGTCTGTTTTATAACTAGAACGGTGAAAACATTTAGACCTAAGATCTCTTATTTGAATTTTTTTTTTTTTAATAATTGAAATTCTCACAATTTTTTTAAAATTTATTTCCCTTGCAACAATTTTATAGCCATTTTGATAAGCTGCTACCCTTACAACAATAGTTTAGATTAATTGTATTCTCAAAATAAATCTAAAATATAAATCAATTTTGCACTACTTTAAAACTCAAAGATTTACATGCATGCCTCTCAATTCTTATGTATTTACATATCTACACCTAAACTTTAATTTTTACATATATATATATATATATATATATAAACTTACTTATACATGTAAAGGTATACTTCACTTTCTAAAACTAAAAGTGATATTTTGACATATACTAATGGTTTGGGGGTATAAATGTAATAATCAAATTTTAGGTGTAAGATTTATAAATATAAAAGAAATAGGTGCTATGGATGGAAATACCCCCTTAAAATTTAGATTAAAGACTGGTGCTCCTTTCACCATAATCTTACCATTTGGTTCTCACATAAGCCCACCAAGTGTCTCTCTTATATATGGTGATGCATATAAAAATAAAATAAATAATTATATTAATTTTATTGTGCAAGAAATATTCCTCTTTTTTATATTACTATGCATTAAATTTCGAAATATTAACAAAAAAATAATAAAATAAAATAAAAAACATTTAAAAGTAAAACTAAGTTGAATATCAAAATCATAATGACAGAATAATTATCAATATAAAAACTTAGGGTGCTTTTGAGGCAGCTTGTGTGTTTTAGGATAAACTGTCTATCCTGAAACACAGCCCGCAACCTGCATTTAATGTAAAAACCAAAACGCGGTTTCGAATAAGCTGGCGAAACGCGCGAACCAAACAGTACGGCGCCCGCACTTATAAGCTGCCCCAAACAGACCCATAATAAGCAGATCGGATGGGTGCAATCCAACAATTGAGGCAAAAACAATGAAAAGCTTTTCTTTGATCACAACCAAAAGTGGGGGAAAAACTAATGGTCCCCAAATTTAATCATTTACTAAAAATATGCTAAAGAAAAAATAATAATAATTTCAGTCCTTTTACTTCATGCTTCACAACCATTCAACAAAATCATTAGTGGGACTGGCTTACATACTCTCACAATATGAACTTAAATTGGTAACAAAATATTTTCATGAGTCATTATTTAAGTCATCACAGGAGAAAAATAATGCAAAGAGGTACAAGCACAAAAAAGATTGAAAGTGGGGGCAAAAAATAAAAATAAAAAAACAACAGACCCTTTATCACTATACAGATGAAACTAACTGAAATATACAAATTGAAATAGGAATGAGAAAGAGCAGATCAGGGAGAGGATCCTCCTAAGCTTGGCCATGGAACAACTAAGATCACCACGGGCTACTTACTATCTCCACTCTTCGACTGAGAGGAAACTCCAAGCAATCCATTAAATAGGTTTGGCAACTGCACATTCAAAGAAGCAAGGGGAAGGGCATTACATAATTTAAAATCAATGAAGCATTGTACCAATAATTATGAAAATATTCTATAATTAATGATAGAGAAAATGGTCAAAAATAGTCTGATTTTTGGCATGAGGTTATTTTAGTCCCACAGTCTTAAAAGTTTTAATTTAGTCTCCAAAATTTTAAAATATGGGCTGAAATAATCTCTACAAATGACTATTTTAGCCCCCAATTTAAAAAGCCTAGGGGACTATTTTGGCGCTTTAATCATTATGAAAAAGAAACAGTCTGATACATAGCTGACAAGAATGTTGCATCTAAGAAGCACATGAAAAAATCACAAGACATACTTTCTTTGGAAGCGGTCTCAAGGCTTTAACACCACCACCCTCTCCTTTCACCTCTAGAGGTTTCAAAATATCAAAGGAACACATTAAGGACTTATCTATGCTCAACAAAGCGCCGCAATTATCAAATTCTCCGCAGTAGTTGGGAGCCGAAAAGATCGTCACTAATCTCCTCTTGGCAAAAAACTCGTAACCATCCTCGACCACCTGTCAAAGGAAACAATAAGTAGCAGTCCTTTAGACGCTATTCATACAAATTAAAGATGGGAAAAGTCTGGTATGGAATGAAATCCAAGAACCTGATGAGCACGACATATGAGATCAAGATCGTTCTTTTCTAAGAATTCTATAAGTTTATCGGCACCAAAAGTACACGAAACTCCTCTATCACTTTTTCCCCATCCTTTGATGTCTGGGTCCGGATCGGACCAAAGCAAATCACAGAGGAGACCATAATCAGGGATCTCGGAGGGCCTCTGCATGTCTCTTATTTGGTCCAAACTTGTGAGTTCAGGAGAGAGTCCGCCATGCATGCACAGTATTTTCTCTTCGATGATTGCGGCAATGGGTAAGCAATTGAAGCAATCCGTGAAGATCCTCCATAGACGAACATTGAATCGTCTCTTACATTCGTCGTAGAAGCCATAAACCCTGTTAATTTTTGCATCCTCGTGGTTTCCTCTTAAAAGAAAAATCTTGTTAGGGTACTTGATTTTGTATGCGAGGAGCAAACAAATCGTTTCCAGGCTTTGTTTTCCTCGATCAACGTAATCACCTAGGAATAGATATGTGGACGATGGAGGGAATCCGCCACATTCGAAGATTCTCAAAAGGTCAATGAATTGTCCATGAATATCACCTGCAAATCATTTTCAAAATATGAGAATTATGAAGTTTTCTGAGGATTAATAATCTATATTGCATGAGTATAGCAAAAATAACTCAAGGTTTGATGGGGTTTTTTTTTTCATATTTTATAGGGGATTATACAGAATAAATAGCAAGGACGTTACAGTATAGATTATGGAAACATCTTTAAACCAAATAAGCAACCCAGCTGTGACATTGAAGAGCATCAAGCCTAGTAAAGACTAACTGTATGGTTAAGGTGGACAGCATAATAGAACAGGGCTCTAGGACTGTGCTGAACTAAAAACCAAAGAACTTTGATAAACAATTCACTTTGCAACTGAGTCAATTTTACTTTAGTAAATTCAGGTTGCGCCATGAGCTCACACAAAAAAGAAAAAAATTTGGGG